AAACCAGTTGCCACTCAAGGCTATAGAAACCCAGTCTGTCCTGCTATTTACCCATAGCTGGGGGAGAAGATGAGGATTCATACCTTTCCCAAGAGAATTAGCATATAAGTGAATGTAATGGGTCCAACTGGAATTTGTATTCGGCTGATTCCCCAATCCGAGCAGCTATCCATTACTCTAATGTGCCTCAAGATTAGAAGAAGCTTAAAAATATTCCAAAATGAGAAGCAAATTAAAGAAAGTCAACATTTATCAAAGGATACAATTCTATTAATTTTTTTTAAAACACTACATGAGAAACCCACACATTGCTTTGACCTGGTTTCCATGTGCAACATCCAATGTTTTAACAATGATTCACCTACATTTAAGTTGGTATAATCATTTGTATTAATTTCTATTTTTTTTTTTTTTTTTCAAAGTTGCCTGAGACCACCATGAAAAGAAACAAGTCTTGTGCATTTTGTTTTAAGAGTAAATGAAGTTTATTTACAGTAATTTGAGAAAAGTGGGAGATGGGTATTAATAAAATAAAAATTATATTACATGAATATGCAATTTGTGACCCTTTTCTTTCACTGACAAAGTACGTGTCCAGTCATGCAGCCCCAGTCTATTGCATCTCAAAAAAAAAAAAAAATATATAAAAAATATATATATATATATATATATATATATATATATATCACACCCCTGCTTACGTTCATCCTCACTGAGAGATCATTACATTGAATGTACATTTTTTTTTTTTTTTTTTTTTGGTAACAATTTCTTTTCCTGCCTCCACTCTGCTCCAACTGAACTGAGGGAAGAATTGGAATAAACTTCCGTGTGTGCACATGTATGTGTATATATGGCTATTCAGAAATAGTCTATAATATACAGTGCACACATAGTCCCATAAGTTTTGAAAGCATATATGTATAGGTAAAACAAAAACATGTAGACATGGGTACATCCTGCTTACAGTCTCTGACAGAAAAATGTAAGCATAGAAATTACATAACACTTTCATATAAAAAACAAAAACAAAAAACACCTTAGTTCAGTGCAATTTACATATCAGATACAGCAATAACCTTTATAATTTTTTTAAAAAAAGGTATCAGAATAGATATATTTACAATCCATTTCAAGAGTTTTTCTTTTTGTCTTGATCTTGCTCTCCACCCTGACATGAACCAATATCACAACACTGGCCAAAATTAAGTGCCAAAAACTGAAGTTGAGCAAGCAAATAGAATTCAAAAGAAATTGATCTGGCAGCACTTCATATATATTTCATTTCTTTTTTCTCACAACTATCACTCCACTGAACATGTTGATATAAACTTTGGTTCTAGACTTAGGTTTCATACAATACCATTCGGGATATATATATATATATATATATATATATAAAAAACATACATTTAGCTGTCATTTCATAGATTTAGAAAAAGAGTAAATCACAGTCAAAGATATCATTCTGAAAATGAACAGTAATAGAAGGAACTTTGAACATGATGATCATCATACAAGAGGCAAAGTTTCAAGTTTCTCGACCGACACAATGTACAAAGACAACCTATTAGACTGGTTATAAATCCACAAATCCTCCAATTTAAATTCAACCAGGAGCCAACCAAAAAAGAAAATCTGTGCTTTGTTTTAATTCCAGTCACTTACATATTCACACAGTATCCCTGCTAACTCTGCAGTATTAGGACCTTTGTTAGAAAAAGCAGTTTTGACTTGCCAAGATGAATTCCACTTAATAGGAAAAACTTAAAACTGTACAATTCACCATTTCTTTTTAACACTTAAAAATCTCCTTAAAGTATTGTGTGCATATTGAAATATGCATTTTTCATAATGCATATGAAAAAGACAATATTATTCAGTGTTCATTCAATACTGAAAAAACTCTACTTACACACAGAAAAATAGGGGGTTTTGGGGGGGGGATGAAAAATAGTTCCCACCCCCAAATAACTATCCTCCCACTTCTGCTCCATATAATATAACTAAACTTAACCCTACTTGGTGCTGCCAAATGAATCTCAAGATATTATGAATCTAATTTTATGTCATATTTAAAAAAAAGGTTGGAGCAGAGATTGCCATGTGCCTGGAATAATTTCAGAATAATTTAAACAGGAAAAATTGAAGTGTAGTAAATATAACCAAATAACTTCTCACTATACTTGTAAAATCACTAACAATTAAATGTAAGTAAATATTTAAAAAAAAACAGTGTCTGGTTATTATCAAGGATATCAAAGAAATGGTTTTCAGCATTAATGAAAACTACTAAGTCTACAAAAAGGTGGGGGGGAATAAATAAACAGTAGATTATATTTACTAAATCATAAATACAAGCAAAACACCTCTAAAATTTACAAAGGAAATTCTTAAAAGTTTGCAAATAGCTTAATAATAAACTAAATTATCCAAACAGCAAATGAAAAACCTTTAAACTAATACAGATAATTGTTTCAGCTGACCAATAGAATAAAACTGTTGGCAAATTCCCACACTGCACTTAAATGCAAGCTTCATGTTTAATGCACTGCAGTAATATGACTATTGGCAGCCTTCTTTCCAAAAACCTACAATAATCCAATTTCTTTTGTCTAATCATTTTAGATGAAAGCCAAAAATGCCATCAGTTACCATTTTTTATAAACTAAACTTCAAGTCATGAAAAATGGTATAATCTTAGCACTTTGAAGGTTTTATGCAAATTTTCTATAAAATCTTGAGTTGGAGCTTTGATTTTTTCCAACTATTTCAGCCTAGGTATTGAATTCACTAGTTAATAATTCAAAGATAATTTAATTTTTGTAAATTTAAAAAAAATTTTTTTTCAAAATTCTAACATTTACCAGTTGAATAAATTTTTTTTGTTTTTAGGAAAATTGTATGTTAATGTTTTGCATGTCTCCAAATATATAGATAAGTGGATGCAAGTTAACACCAAGCAATAATATTTCATGCTTGAATGCAATCTTCAAGCTATGCTTATATATCGTAATTTTATTTAGAGCTATATCATTGTTATTTACCTCTTAATAATTAAAATACTAATGTCAGTGGAATCCTGTTCCTTTTTAACCAACTTTCAGCAAGTAATAGTCTGTGCAGATTATCTACATTATTCGGACTATTGTTCTCATCTTTGTTGCCATATTTATTACAATGTTTCGGTCGTTGTACACTCCAGCCTTCTTCAGGTGGTTGAAATGTCAAACTGAACCCTTTATTTTGCTCATTGGAGTAGACTGTTCCCTCTGAAAGTTCTCCACTGCCTTAACTAGGTATTGAACTCACACTCTTTGGGTCCTGTCATTGGATCTAACCAATGCCTTTATCCACTATGCCATGTGTTCTTGGCAGTGGAGAACTTTCAAAGGGAAATTAACAGGAGATAACTGATATACATTAAACATGGCATGTGGAACTAGAACAGTCTACCCCAGTGAGCAAAATAAAGGGTTCAGTTCGACATTCCAACCACCTGAAGAAGGCCGGAGTGTACAACGGCCGAAAAGTGGTAATAAATATGGTGACAAAGATGAGGACAATAGTCCAAATAATGTAAATAATAATTCATCTCAGAAATATAGACAGATTCTGTGCAGATTATTTCAAAATTGAAAGGACTTAAAATTTTGTGGTCCCATTTTTAGGGCTCTCCTCACCAACTAGCACTTTATTTTCAAAAATAAATTATTTTTTTTTTAAGAGTGTATTTCTCTTTCTGTTGTTTCACAATTTTATTTGGCAAAATTCAGCAGGATGAAAGTCTGTAATTTTTTTCAATTCATTCATTTTGAAAGGAATGAAACTTCAGTTCCTTCTTTATCCTGTAAGCCTTCAGAAACCAATAAGCTTGACAGGACATGATGAGCAGGGGGAGAAGATAGAGTGAAGCTTGCAAAAAGGTGGGAAGAAATGATTTATTCCAAAATACAACAGAAAGAAAGGAGAAAAAAAAAAAAAGATGGCAACAACAAAAATCAACAAAAATGTTGGGCAGGTGGGGGATTTAGCTTTGAGGTTTTATCTGTCATTCACTGATATTAACAGACAAAACGTTGTTGATCAGCAAATCTAGATTATGCCAAGATTTGTAAATGAACATTTCCATTGACAAATCATAGACTATCATTGGTGAGCTTCTTCAAATAAGGCAAAAGTCTCAAGCGTAAAGACTCCTTCAAAAGATCAAAAGAGGCCCAATTCTATCAGTAGGATCAAGTGGATGCTTGTCTTAAGTGAAGAGCAAGAAACTTGCTAGAGTCAGAAACTAATCATATGAGCAGTGAGAAGATCATTTTCAAAAGTCTATCCTAATGTTCAGTTTGGATTGAAATACTGGTCAGTCCAACCATGACAAGATAACTATCAGCTATCATTTTTCTGACAGTTGTAAACATTAGATCAGTTTTATCAATTTGTCTATTTAGAATTCACTTATTTAGAAGAGAGGGGCATTCACCATCATTTCAGATTTCAAGAATATTTTTTTTAACACTAAAATTTGAGATATTAGAAAATATTCATTTTCAAGATCATTAGTTCTACAAAATGTGTTATTTTGAAATAGAAAATCAAAAAGAACTTTGTTGACACACAGTCATAGAACTGGCCACATCAACATAACAAAATAATGCCACAGAAAAATATCAAAAACTTCAGAACTAATTTTTCTTTATATTGATATTTGTCTTGTTCAGCTCCAACTCCCCAACAAAAAACAACATTGTAACAAAAATAAGCCTATTAATTAACTTTACCCAGTGTCCCCTTCCCCTAATTACAGACATGGCTCAATATCTTTTTGCAAAGTAAACCATTTCAGATGGGTCTCTTAGCACAGATTGGCAAGAAAGAAAAGTTGAGTGGATGGATGAACAGATGACAAAAACACAGTGAAGTAGATGGGGGAGCAGGAGGAGTAGGATACAGTGATGGTAGTCTTGTGTTATGGAGTCAGTCTGTGAGTGGATTTGTTTTCAAAGAATGCCATTGGTAAGATACTGGAAGCCATCGTATAGCTTAGTAGTAAGAGAGTTGAGGCTACTCTCAACCATGTTGTCAACAAGAAGTTGGAGCTGTTCTTCAGTTAGTGTCAGGTGAAAGCGTTCCTTCAGGGAGCGAATTGTGCTCACCCCACGGCTAAAGCAAGGAAGTTGGGAACCTGAAAATACAAGATTTGTTCAGAAATAAGGTATTTATTGATTTTTATTAAAATAAAACTTGGAAAAAATAGTTAAATCTTGAGTAAGTTTAGTTCATATTAAGTAAAACAAAAAATGTCCATTTATACATTTATTGAAATCAATAAACAAACACCTTTAAGTTCATAACATTAACATGTGGTAATATTTTCAGTTTTAATTAAATGTGCACAATTGCATCTTCTATGGAAATGTCCATACGCTAAATCTAAATGGATTTCTAGATAGTTATGTTTAAAATTTCCTAATACAACAAGATTGCTCAATATCAGTGTTTGGGCATTTATACACAGTATGGAGAGAGTCACCGTGCAGTGTTAATTCTTGTCAGTTTCACACTTCAATGTGATGGTCAAGGAGAATCTGGACCAATTCCTATTAAACATACATTCTTATGGTTAGGAGTAGATAGGCAAGCCTATTGCTCAATTGACATGCCTTCCCAGTATTTTGAACAGGAGTAGTGGTTTATCCCTTTTTTCCTGTTTATGATTGGGTTCCTGGTTATTTCCGAAGTCTTTTTTTTCACTCCTAGTAACCTCTTGCATCTTGGTGGCATTATTACCTTGCTTATTGTGAAATAAATAATAGTACTTAATACATTCAAAGAAAAAAAAAAGAACATCATGTAAAAGCATTAGAATACTTCAATAGTAGTTTTACTTCAAAATGTACTTAAAAGTAAAAAGAAAAACCAACTACAACATTAAAATATATAGAATCTACACTGAATGTTAAAATTATAATTTTATAATTATTTCCATATCTAAATTTTTGTCATGTATACAAGTCCGTTAAAATAACTGGTAGAACAAGCTCACTTTTTTTGTCTCATTCATTAAATATCATTAGTCAATTGGGGTGAAACGGTTTCAATGCATTAGACTTATACAGTACTTTATTTATTAGCGAGGAAAATTCTGCTGTTCTTAAAGGGAAGTAACCCACGTAAAAGGGGTTAGTAATCAAATATGAAAGCTGAACTTTATTTAACAATTTGCATCTAGAAAAGTGAATGAATAAGAAACATCACATTCAACCAATGATCCAACCTGCTGAAATCCCCACCACCACCAAAAAAAAAGAAAAAAAAAATCCTGACTTTTAAAAGACCAACCATTGGAAATTACAACAGATGAAAGCTATAAAATTCATATATTCTCTTTCTCTCTCTCACTCACACACACAGAACTCATATATTGATCCATTGATAAGGGTGCTGAAAAAAAATTGTTGGTTCCTTCTACTGTTTGAGTAAGTACTAGACACCTACTATACTATGCTAACAAGAGAGCCAGATCAAACCAAAAATGGAGATTAGTGCCATATCTTAGCTGAAATAGTCCAGTCCTCACTTCCAGTTTTAAACACTTCAAAAGCATCTATGCAGCATTTTCCATTCTACAACTCATTTCCCCACAGACAAAAGATTGTAAGCCTCTCGTTACTCTATCACTATTTCTATGGCAAACATACAGTAAACCACAACTTTGAGCTATGTGTTATTACCTAAAAATATACAAAAATAATACATAGTTGCTGGCACCTCCTGACAAGTGGACTGAACAATTACAAAAAGGATTTGTCTATGAAACTCTGGAGTTGAAGTATTGAATATAACAGCAATCCAGCTAAGTGACAAATTTTATTTTGATTATATATAAGAATATTTAAAATTCAAATTTTAGAATATTTAAAAATATTTTTTATATGATATATAAAATTTTTTTTTTAAATATTCTAAAATTCCCAGCACCCCTCGTTTGTGAGTATGTGCAATTGTACCAGCATAATAAATTTAGTCTGATGAAGTTCTGAAGGATGAAACACATCACAAGTCAACTTTTTTTTTTATAATTATTCATGATGTTTAGACCTAGAATCCTCAATACACACGTTTACAGAAAACCACTGGACAGCTATTTCATTCTTTCTGGGACTCAACAGCAGTGTGCATCCTCTACTGACTGAAAATCAAACCCAGACATTACAACACAGCTGGTCATAGTGGCAAAGAGGAAACTAAGTTTAAACACAATCTACCACAGCCCATCTCAATTCTGGTGGTGATATTTATCCAAGCATACAAGACCCACAGGATTGGGCCCCAAGACCAATGACTCCCTTCACCAAGCTGCTCAAATCCAGAGCATTAGAAGCTGGATCTAGCATGCAGAAAAGCACTGGACAGCCATTTCATTCTTTCTGGGACTCAACAGCAGTGTGCATCCTACACTGACTGAAAAATCAAACCCAGACTGTTATGATACAATGCAAGCATCATTCCATTGAGCCAGCGGGCCATGGTGATGAAGAGAAAATTAAGTTACGAGGCACAATATAGCACAGTTTATCCTATTTTCAGTGGTAATATTTATCCAAGCATACACGCACTTGGGGGCCTGTCCTGTGGGTTGAAAAAAAAAAAAAAAAAAAAAAGACAACACTAAAATTCACATATGAACCCATGGTACATAATAGGATCCTATTCCTTGACATTGAGATAGAAATCCAACGAATTTACCACTCACCTGTACAAAAACCCCACTAGTATGAACTTGTCTTCTAAACTATGATAGCCGATGCCCAGAAGGATATAAAATAGCAGTGATAACAACTTTGTAAATAGAGCATACCAAAATTCCTCTTCCCAAAGAATATTTCTAAGTGAAGTGAAACACATAAAACAAACACTAGTCAACAATAATTTTCCCAACCGCATCATTGATAAGCAAATAAAATTATTCTTACAAAAAATACACAACGCCCATAACAAAAATACAATACCACAAAACAACAAATTTTATTACAACCAGATGCACAATAATTATAAGCAGGATGAATTTGCTATAAGGAAAATCATTAAACACTATCTGCTGTAATCCCTGGAAAACAAAGTTCATAATATATTATAAAAAATGGAAGACTGCAAACCTTGACATTACCAACTGAAATAACTGCACCAAATCTAAACTAGTGGTGACCAATATAGTGTACCAATTCTAATGCCCAGTACAAGACTGTGTTACTTGTCAAAAATCAATGACCTATACCGAACACACCACTACCTTCTTAAGTAGAGATCTTACATGCCACCTTTTGAATCAGAGTGCAATTAATAAACATTTATTAACTCATAACTTACAAGAAACTTTAAGGAAAATTCTAGTCGATAATACAAGGATTTTTTTTTCAGGTCACATAGTTGTACACAACTAATCATTAGGGAGATATTGCTTATTAAATACTATTCTCCCGCTATCAATTTTACACTATTTAGCAGTGGGGACAGCATGTTAAAAGTGTTCTAAAAATAAAAGTGATGCCCAGGTCAACTGGCCGCACATAGTACATGACTATCAAAAAGCATACAACTCCCACTGCATACAACTCCACACAGCAAAATTACTATGTAGAAGCCACACTCAGAAATTCACTATCCAAATAACATTCTTTCTAAAGGCTATAGAATTAGCTGAAAGCACTCTGAACAATTATAACTATGGACAATTGCTATATTCTTTAACTATTGAAAAATGAAAAAAAAACTTAGAATGCTGGCAAAACTCAAGATTAATTAAATCTTCCTTGTTGGCCGTTTTCAATGAAAAATGCTTGAAAGAATTGTTGCTCCTCAAATACACACGCACACAGACATGTATGTGTGTGTGTGATTAATACAAATATAACATTTGTCACTTAGCTGATTAATGTTATATTCAGCACTAACTGCAAAGTTCTGTAGATGAACCTTTGTATAATCGTTTGCTCAACTTGTCAACTTTTTTCTCATTTTGTTATTTTTATATTAAGTTAAAAAAAAGTAATCTACATGCTTTTTCTTTGTGTGTGTGTACACCTGTATATGTGTGTATGTGCACATATGTAGAATGTCAAGTTTATTTCTTTTTAGAATTTTATTCTCTCCTCATTCTCTCTCATTATTCATTTTCCTATCTTTCCACTCCGAGTTTTATTTATATATATATATATATATATATATATATATATATATATATATATTAAGAAATGGACAAAGTCCGACAATTTATTTATTAAAGACATTTTTATGTTTAACGTTCTTTTTATAGATACAAGTATTTAAGTAAATGCTCTGTTTATAATAAACAGTATTAAATAACATTTACCGGTCTGAATATAATGATGATAATCAGGCTGCAATAGTTGTTCTAAACAAGTAATATTGAAAAGGAAAGACATTCTATGTCTATTGAATTTAATACCAAAATACTCCATAAAAAAAACCAAGATTATCAAATCTATTTACATCCAACAAAAGTAACTATACAATAAAAATAACTATAGTCTCCAATCCCATATACACCAATGTATGTAACTGATATATGTTGCTCTTACACATTGACGACATGACTTTCTGCATTTTAATTTGAGATTCAATCTTAAAAATGATACTTGAAAGAAAATTGAAAGAACTCTTAAAACATTTTTCTTTCCTTCACTTTTTCACACCACTGAAGATGGATCATGTGAGTTGAAATCATGCACACGACCGTGTGTGTGTGTGTGTGTGTGTGTGTATACACATATATATATAAATAAAATAATCAAAAGCAATAAAGTTTGGTATTGTGTTTACCTGTGATAGGTTATACTAACTACTACAAAGGAAAAAAAAAAAAAACAGTTGCCTCCCTTACCAGTTTGCATGATTTCCACCAAAGGGATAATTTTGTCCATGTGTTTCCGAGATGCAACAAATCCTTGAAGCATGAGGATTTTAAAATATTCAAACATGTCATTGCCCAAGCCACCCATGACCTATTTAAAAAAAAAAAAAAAAAAAAAAAAAAAAAAAAAAATTAAAGAATTTAATAATGTAACAGGACTGTGGAAATTACAAAAATTGTCCTAAAATTATATGAGCATGCAATATAAAAAGTAAAATACTTGTGCTCGTATATTCATTTTGTCATGATAGTGTTAAAATAAAATAAAAATAAAACCCAGACAATGATTTCGAAATATTGACTATGCATTCTGAATGACCTACAGGAGAACAACTGGATACCAGGTATTTATTTTTTATGACATATCCCATTAAATTTCAAAATTTCTTTAAATTTCATAAGTTTAAACAACTGATTTTTCAAAGTTACCTTTATTATGATTGGGTCTCAAGATAAAACTAAAATCAAATTGCAATAGTTAACAAAAAAAAAAAGTTCTACACTCAAATTTTATATTAACAAGTCAACTTATTTCATTTAGTATGCAATAAAAACAAGTAATAATTAGAAAAACCAAGCAGTTTTGTAAGGCAAGGAAAACTTTTTTCTGTAAATGTTACAAGTGACATTTTTATTTGATCAGCAACATCAACTTACTTCAACAAATTCATGTGTCAGTTTGAAAGGGGAATTCTCAAAACCAAGATTCTTTCCAGGTGATGTTGACAAAATGAAGCCAAAATCTATGTGAATGATATGTCCATCAGAATCCAATAAAATATTTCCATTATGTCTGAAATATAAAAATTTTTTTTTTTTAATTCCGCATTTATTCTTTAAACTATCTAATGACGTTTTCATCAGTGGATAAAAAAGATAGCAGTTATTTCCCTTGTATTTTAATTAAATTTTTAATACGTCCTTCATTTAACATTAAGTATTGATAAAAAATAAAATTACATGTCAATGAAATGCTAATTATTAGCATGAAGATGTTCATTAATAATGAAAAATTGTGTAATCCTGAAGAAATCGAGAAACATTCAAATGATGAGAAGATTTCTTAAAACTACACAATCTTTTTTTATCATCTGATCACAGCTCAGTACTCCTTTTCCATAAACTGTAAAACTGTATTTACTTGTGTTTTGTTAGTTCTATGAGAACCAGTATTTCAGGAAAAGAAACATTTGGTATGAATAAAGGAGGCCTCTTTTTTTTCTTTTTTTTTTTATTCTTTAGCACAAAACTTACAGATTGCTTGTTTAGAATCAAAGAATGCATTTACTGTTTCTTAATTTACCCAGAATTTGTCACACCACAATTTGAACATTCTAATTTCAGATACAGAATATTTATTTTGTAAAAGTATCCAATTCTTTTCATAGTATACTTTATATTGAACTATTTATAAGAAATAAATAAATAAAATAATTACTTCTACAGAACTAATTTTTTTTAAAATTCATTTTTTTTAATTATTTCCATGAAAGAAACAGACGATTTTTTTCTTTCATAGCCAGGGGGAGGGGGTTATTGGTTGAAAAATATTCTAAAAATATGCTAATTTAACAGAAAAGAATATTTTAAATCTATACATTGTAACTGGTGGTGAGTCTTTTTGTAATTGTTCTGAAAACTGCTTTCTCATCTTTCCAGAAGGTTCAAAATTTATCTTTAAAATAAAGAATCGGCTAAAAGATAATTTTTAATGGTGTAATTAACTTTTTATTAGATAGAAATGTTAAAAGTTGTTTTCTTTCTCTCTCACTTACCTGTCTTTCACCTGCATGAGATAACACACCAAGCAATAGCCTGCACAACTCTGCACAAAGTTCTTCTGTGCTGTTAAAAATTCTTCACTATTGATTGGGCCAAATTCTTGGATGAAATAATTTAGCAGAAGTTGTTTTGAGTGTTTCTTGATTTGGTGCAAAGAAACTGCGTTAACCACAGGCTCGATCATGCCACTGTCATTAGCAGTTACCACAATATTGTACGGCCTGATCCAGAGGGGAACATGCTCTATCTTCCAAATGTTCTGCAAGAACAAACAATGCCACAGATCATCATCTCAAATTCTTTTCATTTAGAACATGTTTAAAATGCAATCATTTATTCCTCTGGATGGGTTTAGTGTGAATATTGACAAACCAAATACTAAAATATATCAAATAAAAAAAAAAAAAAATTGTCTAAAGCAATGAAAAAAAAAATTCCCATTATACACTTGTTACTTCCTTCTCCCCAATATTTAAAACCAGAATATTTATAAAATATTTCAAAAGAAACTTAGTTTATAATAAAAAAATTTTTTTTAAAACTATTCCCTCAAAATATATGCTTCATATAATCTTCCCATTATATAAATTATACTGTCCTATAATTAGTTCCTCATTACAGACATTAAAAACACACACACACATATATGTGCATGTGTGTGTGTATGTATAATGAAAATGACCAATATTGTTTCACATATACTTTTCATAACTACTGCATACAAACAAAATGTTCAGTACAGCTAGTAAAACCCTACAATTAAAATAAAAAATTATTAAAAATTGTTTTAAATATCGTTAAGTTGAACAAATCTTTCTTAAAAAATTCTTTTTTTATCATCTAATGGCTGTACTTGAAATTTTGTTACAAAAACAATTTTATTCTTAGTTTTACATAGAACTGGATTCTGTCCAGCCCTGTATTTCTAATTTGTGTCATATTACTAAAAGTGGTTTAAAATACTTTGATTTTTACATAGATATGAATAGATTTAGAACTTATTAACATTTTTCTCAATTACAAATTAACTAATAATCTAAAATAGCTGCATTACTGATATCCTATATGTTTTCAGTATTAGAAAATCAGGCAAGTCCAGATACTTCTTGGAAATATTTAGCCTGAACAAATGATTCCACATGCAAAAATCTCACCTGCAACTGTTTGAGGACCTGATAAACAAGTAACTCTTGCCGCAAGTCATCTCCAGATTTGATAATCACTGACATGAGACGCCAGTTAGGCAAGTGGCCATATGGAGAAGACTCTTGAATGCGTCGCACTTTTTCTTCCCAGGGTTCTTTCAGAGCAGCAGCAGACGGATCTTCAGGATCACGCTAGAAGCAAACCCAAAAAACATTGAAATTATAAAAATACATAGAAAAAAACGTTTAAAATGTACCAAGCTTTTTCTGAAAATTCTTCTGAAATTGGAATAATACCATCACTATTTGGTTAAAGTACTGGTTATTTAAAATTAACATATTTCAAATATGAAATCTTAATATAACAGATTAATTTGCTTTGATACTCAAAATGTAAGGAAATAAAAATTATATATATATATATATTTGGTGCAAGTATGCTGAAAGTTCTCAGTCCAACCAAGAAAGGATTCACAAAATATTCTGAAGTTTTATTAGATTTAGAGAAGCAGGCCAAGCTGAAAACTTTTCAACATTCCCTTCTACATAAGTAGTCTCTTATTACAGCAGTAATCACCTGGAAACAGCTTCATTTAAACCTATTTGAAAGTTGTAAAGAAAAACATTTTTTGGAGAAAAATTCAAATAATTACAATAGATTCTTATGTTCTTCATGCCAATGCTAGAATTTGTGAACATTACGTGGTAACTTCATTTAGGTTGTTGTTAAGAATACACTTAATTTAAAATACTGAGCCTACAATGAGACTGTTAAAGCAATTAATGTCCATTGTAAAATCTTATCTAAATCATGTAATAATTATAGGTTTAAATAAAAATTTCAAGAAATTATCCAGTATTAATTATAGGTTTCCACCTAAAACCAATAAATATCCATACCCTGACCCCAAGAAAAAAAGTATCATGCATTATTAGGTTAAAATAATTACAAGAATAGGGGAAAGTCTTTTTAAAGGATGCGTTCTCCAACATCCGTGGCATTAGAACAAACTTCTGCAGTATAGAATCTTTCCTCACTGCAAATTGCCCGGATATACTCTATAACCCACATGCACGGCCTTGGTGTCTACATCAAGGACCATCTCCCTCTGGCCAGAGAGTTGTCTCTCGAATCACCAGACCAGTCATACATGTGTCTCCGACTATCTCTTAATGTGGTAAGCTATCTCTTCTTCCTTTACCGCTCTCCATCTTCTCAAGACTGTGGGATACTCAATAGCATTTCTGACAGCATAGACAAGGCTCTCTCCATCCACCCATTTGCCCACATATTTGTGTTTGGCGACTTTAATGCCCATCATACCATGTGGCTTAAAAATGCTACTACTGACCACGCAGACATTCAAATGTTCAATTTTTCAGTCTCTCAATCCCTTACGCAGATAGTTAACTTCCCCACTCATTTTGCCTTCAACCAGGAAGGTAAAGCCTCTCTTCTCGATATGTTTTACCTCCATCTCCGAGTCCTGTAGCGCCATGCAACTCTGCCCTCTTGGTAACTCTGATCATGCAGTAGTATCTGTTAACATCTCCTTCAACTCCACCCCCTGCAAAGAACCTCCTACCACTAGAACTTTGTTCTACTATCAACAAGCTGACTGGGACGCGTTCCGTGATTTCCTCCACGATGTCCCCTGGGATCATGTCTTTACGCTCCCCATTCAAGAATGTGCTTCTGAGGTCTCTTCCTGGGTTAAAGCTGGAATCGACGCTTTCATCCCCTCAAGGAAATATAGGCTCAAGTCGCACTCCTCCCCCTGGTTCTCCACTGCTTGCTCAGCCGCCATTGGCCATAGGAACCACTTCTTTCACCTATTCCGTAGCGACATGTCTGACTGCAATAGACGTCTCTTTGCCTCCGCCCGTAATGAGTGTAAACGTGTCCTCAATGATGCTAAGTCACTATTTGCTGCTCAGATGAAGGAGCGTATTGCATCTCGCAAATTTGGTTCCAAAGATTATTGGCGTCTCTGCAAGAGCGTATTCAACAATTGCAAACCCTCTATACCTCCATTGTTCAACCAGTTCGAAGTCCTGACCTCCTCTGCCGACAAGGCTGAATGCTTTGCATGGAAATTTTCATTCAACTCAATGCTCGACTCTTCCGGTGTACCCATACCCGACTTCCCTTTTAGAACTGAAGCCCTATTGAGTGGGTTACACATAATCCCATCATTGGTATTGGGCGTTATCTCCAATTTAGACCCCAACAAGGCTAGTGGTGGAGATGGGATACCAGCCATTGTCTTGAAGAAATGCAAGCCTGAACTGGCGCCTGCCCTTTCTAAACTATACAACTACTGCCTCAAGGAATCTTGTTTTCCTGACTGCTGGAAGTCCTCTTCGGTTGTTCCTGTCTTCAAGAACTCTGGTGAACCCTCTGACCCTTCTAACTACTATCCTATCAGTCTCCTACCCCTCTTCGGCAAAGTCTTCGAAGCCCTAATCAATACCAAGGTGGTTAACCACCTCACATCCCATGATCTGCTCTCAGACAAGCAATATGGCTTCCGCTTTGCCCAATTTACAGCTGACGTGCTTACGGCCATCACTAAAACTGTCTACCGAGCTCTTCAAAATAACGGGGAAGCTCGTGCTGTGGCCCTAGACATCTCCAAAGCATTTGATAGGGTTTGGCATGCCGGCCTTCTTCGCAAGCTCCAGGGTTATGGCATTATGGGTCGATTGTTTGACCTAATACAATCATTCCTGTCAAACCGTGAATTGAAGGTCGTTCTCAACGGATTCTCCTCCAGTTTCTATCCCACAAACGCAGGTGTTCCTCAAGGCTCCATCCTAGGCCCCACTCTATTCCTTATCTACATAAATGACCTTCCTGACACCATAAATTCCCAAGTTGGCATCTACGCGGATGACACCACAATTTATTCCTGCATCAAAAACAAATCTAGTGTCAGTGACAAAAATAACCTGGCAGTGCGTCTCGAAAAGGACCTCCAATCAGTTGTGAACTGGGGCAGGAATTGGCTGGTCAACTTTAATGCCTCAAAAACAAAACTGCTCTCTATTAATCACCACAGAGATCCTTCCCTGCCCCCCATTAGAATGTCTGACGCTCAACTACTCGAGAGCACCTCTCTGCGGCTGCTCGGTCTCACATTGATGGCTGACCTGAGATGGAACAAATACATTGAGTCAATTGCTTCGTCCACCGCAAGGAAAGTTGGCTCCTTGTGCGCCAGGAAATTTTTCTCCCCGAATCGATCCTCCAAATCTACAAATCAACACCCGCCCCTTGCATGGAGTATTGCTGCCCTATATGGTCTGGAGCCCCTTCTGTTTGCCTTGGGGTTCTTGATAGGCTCCAGAGGCGGATATGCAATATAATTGGCCCTGATCTGGCATCTCGTCTACAGACACTTTCTCACAGACGCACCATCGCCTCTCTCTGTTTTACAAATACTTTCATGGCAATTGCTCCAAGGAGCTGCATTCGCTGGTTCCCAGACTTCATGAGTTCAAGCGCCCGACAAGGCTGGCATCCCGCTCTCACCCCTTCACTGTTGAAACTCCTAAATGTAGCCGTCTCTTCTACTCCGATAGCTTCATGTCTCGCACCTCTCACCTGTGGAACTCTCTTCCCTATTCTAGTTTCCCTGAGAGCTATAATCTCCAGCTATTCAAATGTAATGTCAATCGACATCGCCAGTTGCCTTGATCTATCCACTACCCTTCTCTTCATCCTTTCTTCTATCACTCCTATCTGATCTTGTTCCAAATTTTCTGTAACCCCTTGCGTACTAGTGGCTTCCCGCCTTGCTTGGGGTGAAACGCTTAAAAAAAAGTTATACATTAAAAGATCCATACTCAAATCTTACCTCAAATTTTCCTTTTGGGGCAGCAATGTTCTCAGAGAGACGTCTGCGAATGTCCCCAGCAGCTATGTACACAGGATCTTTACTGTCTGCACTTGTTGAACTCTCAGTTGAAAACTGAGATATGGTGTCACTGGACTTACTCCGGTTTGGAAACTAAAGTAAATATACAGGTTTTTGTTCTATAATCCATGCTTTCTGTCAGCTTTATTTACAAGATTACTTCTCATACAAAAGTTTTATCAGATAGAAATCTTACACAAATCATTCATCTTTAGAATAAATGCCCATTCTCCACCTAATCAAGTAGCACAAAATTTGTATTTGACAAGTAAAAAATTTTGACAAGTGCCATCTTCCAAAACTCACTTAAACTAACTCATTTTTCAGAGTTTTTCACTCAATTTTTTTTTCATTACACATAAAACATTGTTTTAATTTATTAAATTAGATATGCATAAGTGTTAGAATGAATAAACTTGCACCTTTTGATATGATGTTGTATAATATTAAGAGTAAAGATGAAATGCACTTTAGAAAATTAAAATTGCTTGAGATGAGAATGCAAAGGAAAAGAAATCTTAAAATGGTATAAAATATTTAATGTCATATTTTTGTATGGTCAAAAATGGCTTACATTTAGTCGTATTGGTTGGTTCAACTCTCAAAAATTTGCATATCTCTCATAAAAATGAATATCTTATACAAACCATAACTTGTAAGATTTCATCATCATCTTGTGACCAGCAATCAGCATCATCAAAGTCTGTATTGGTGTAAATGGCTAACTCAGGCCGAGGAGACGTGTTGCTTCGATTGTAGTAGTGTGTCAGGTCTTCTTCAGAGCGGGTGAAACGCAGTGTGTTCTCTAAGATTTTACTGGGAACTTGGCTGGTGACTGGGTTTTCACATTCAAGCACTTCAACATACATCAAATAAGGGGCCTGGAAAAAAAACATTTCATCAGTAAAGGGGAACATTTTCTGTTATAAACTGACATGCAGTATTAATATAAGTACTTTTGGGTATAAACTACACCAGTGGTTCCTAAACTTTTCTCTGGGTCACATTTTTGGAATGAAAATTTGCTTGCACCTCACCAAAGTTTGTGATAAAAAGTATGTTTAAGAATAAAAAACAATGACTAATAGTGTGTTAAATATAATATATAACACAAATAACTTATAATTAAAGTACACAAATTTAATGAAAGGTATGAAATTGTTTTTGACGAGTAATCTCCTTTATATTAGGCCTATTTTGAGATAAACTCTTCACATCAACACAAGTCTTTCTTTTTAGTTTTTGATATTTGTCAGAACTGAAAAGGCACAAGGATAACTCTCTCCTCCAATTTGCAGACCCTAGTTACTATATTCTTAATACTTGATATAATGCAAAAATATCACAATGATAAAGTCGTTCAGTAATTATTTATAACTATTTATAGAGAGACTCATGCATGCAATTACAATTAATCCATAATAATATTTTAAATTTTGAAATCATATTTCTGGCATATGAATTTTTTGAAACTGTTTCCAAATCTTTGCCTTTAAATCATTCCGTGTCACTTGCTATTCTCTATGAGGCACACCACACCATTTGGGAATCATTGAACTAGACAATTCCAAACTAAACCCATGATAACTAACTGTGCTAACCAAAAAGAAGTGACAAGCAACTGCTTGGAAATATCAAAATAGCTTAAGTACAGTTTGATATTTAAAACATTAAAAGTGCTTGACAAAAGATCAAAGTAAGAAATCATCAATCATTTTACTATAAATCAAAATAGAAATTTTGTTACAAAAACATTTCCTGACTGAATCAAGAAATGCAACACAATGTGACTCATTAAAAACCATGGAAAATAGAAAGTTCATGTCCCAGATAAATATGTAAAGAATAATAAATTATAATTAATATTTTAGGTTAATTTAAATATTAACTCAAGATTTTAAAGAGTTTTTACTAATTAACACTTAAGAACTGAAAAAAAAGAGAAGGTGGGATGGAATTTAGCACTTTCAAAATCCAGTCCTTTCAATAAATTCAAATCAAGTATCAGCAGATATAATTACCTCTGCAAACACCTTTCAAGTAGAAAAAGAAAGAAAGAATTAATTATTTCTCTAAGTGGAAACCCTTCAGAAATTGCAATGGAGGAAAAAATTAGCAATGACTCACCTTTTCCTTAGAGTTGAGTACAACAGCCTGTGTGTGAGGGACACGTACAATGTGGTGATTGGCCTTCTCAGCTGTAGGCAGCCAAACCCGAGCTGGCAGGTTCAAATTCAGCATTGCCAACTCTGCTATCAACCTTGAGGCTGGAAAGATAGCCATTCATTTTTAAAAACTGAAAACACGTAGTGGGGAAAAAAAAAAAAATCAATTATTTAAAAAAGAAAAAAAAAAAAGTTTTTACCAAGTCATTTTTCTCGTTAGGCTTTCAAAAGCCTATTTTGAAGAGAAATTTAATTAAAATCTCATTAATGCTTTTGAAAATAATAGTTAAGACAAATGGTGGCTTTCTGACTTGTTTTTTTCTTCTTTTAATAATAATCTGATTAAGTTTAATTAGCTTTTTTTTTTTTGCAGATGATAGCTGTTAAACACTGTATACAATTGTTTTAAAGCAATAATAACCATAATATTCTAGTTTTACAAAATGAAGAGAACAAAGTTTGTTTTATTTATTTTTTTTTTTACTAAACTACTTGCTAAAAGAAAAACAAATCAAATTTATTACCACTTTATAAAATCAGTTTTTAACTAACACAGAACATTTTATAAACACACCCTATCGCTAAATAAGGGTGTTAGACCAATGGTCCTTAACTATTACTTCCCCAAAACTTCTTTTCTGGTATTTGCACAGGCAGACACCCTCATGTTAAAATTACACTGGTAAATGGAGCAGAGTCAATGTCGATGCATATTGTTGCTTTCTGACAGCACCATCTTCAGAAGCAAGCTATAGTTGAAACAACAAAGCAGTGTTCACCACAAGTGATCATTAAAATTGCCAGCCTTTGACATACATGTTTTTGCTCCATACTGCAGTTGTATCTAATAAGTCTAAAATTAAACATCTAGTAAAGAAAAGAAAAAAAAAGAAAAAAAAAACAAACAAATGTGCATATAAAATGTCTAATCCAAGTTGAAAGGGTTAAATCATCTTTTTAAAATTATAGTACTCTCCCCAGTTAAAGCCTCTGATTACTTACTGATGTCAGAGTTCAGTGCTCTTACAGGAGTGTTACCATCCACATTAAGAATCACTGTTCTCTTTAAGCCAGCATCAGTTACATTTTTAAAGAGAGACTGATTGTTAAACACAAGGCATTGGGATTCACTTATGGCGTCAACAAATTTATGAACAGATTTCTTTTCCGTTGCAATAAATTCTAAATTTTATTCAGAAAGAGCAACATGAATCTTATCACTACAATTCCATTCAACCATTTCAGGGGCTTGTAATGCTGTTCAGTAGCTTTCATTCCTCACTCTTTTGCATTGCTGGCTAATGTAATTGCACAGTACTTAGTTGAAAAATATAATGCACACTCACTGTTTTAAAGTGATTTGCATTCATGGCAGGCTAATAAATACAAATTAGGTATGCTACTTGTTGCTGCATTTACTTCTGCCAACATGGTGCCTGGCAAAAAATACAAGTAGCATGTGGTGGCTCCCTTTTTTGTTAACAGTTTAGCACTTTGTAGGTGACTATTTTCGCCAAGCAAAATGTTAGCCTTGCCAATGCAAGTTGAATTTGAATTTCTTGGTTGTGTGGTCATATCCTTCTATGGCAACACCGAAAATAATCTAGACCAAAATCAAGAGCCAGGCTACTACAATTTCAAGTATATAGAACTAATATATAAAACACTATATGCTGAGGGGATTCCATATAAAGCAAGAGTGGAAGATTTATTTAAAGATAGTGCAGAATGCTAAATGTTAACAAGGTTACGTCATTCTTTGATGTTTCACTACAAATTTTGCCACCCAAATTCATTATCTCTCTATATTGGTACACCACAATATCATTTTCCACCTCTATTGAAATACCATGTTATTCCCCCCCCCAATCCAACCACTGCCACCATCATTCTGAAAGACAAGTATCATATTGCATAGATTAGATCACAATTTTCTCAGACAAGACTAAGTTTATTCAGCTGTCACCTGAGAAAAAAAAAAAAGATTAATAAAATTCAGTACCAAATTAAATGAAGTGAATGTGGTTATATACTAAAGTCTTAGAAATCTTGGAGTACAAGAGGGAGATAGAAAGAAAAACAACATACTACGTTGTTCCTTTGTGGGGAGTTGTTGTAATTTCTGTGCAATATTCATCAAAGCTGTCACAAACTCCAACTGTGGCATCAAGCGAGGTGCCTGAAAGACAAATCCAATTACATAAAAGCTCTTACTATAAATTAATAATAAAACATTACATGATCAACATGGATGATAATTCTTATATTTTCCTTTCTTATAAATACATACAGGAAGATCATTTTTCTTATTACATACCAAAACAAGAGAAGTTTGAAAATTTGTTCATCCACATTTTTTTTTAAGCTACAGACATTTTATTGGTTTTAACAAGATATTTTCTTATAGAAGGGTAATAACAGCTTTCAAAATGGTTACTACATAAAAGCTGTTCAAACATTTAGATATGCTTGCTGTGGATTATCTCAATCTATACACCAATAGCACATTAAGTACAGTAGATACACGATTCAGAATCTCCATCTTGATGACATCCACCAGCTCACAGGCCATCTTCCCATCCATTATTTGCACATCATACTTAAACATACCACTTGTTCTTATATCAATCAGATTCTCACAAGCCACAAAAAGTACCATGAGAAAACAGAACATTTAAATATTGGACAATTATGAAAGCTACATCTAAGTACAGCCTGAAGTGTTGTTACTCACTAGATAAGGACATAAGTTACCTATTCTCAATAACCAATCCAAGCTCTGGAAAGTTGGGACATTTGCCAGACACAACTTCTAAATCTATTATGAAATTTGATGCTTTAAATGTTCAAGTCAATAAGTGAGCAGGATATCTTAAATAAGGTCTTTCTCACTACACACTATTTGTGAACTTGTAATATTTAAGTGTATTAACACTAACTGCATGAAATAAGTTTCTGTTTAACCTTTTATTTATTTTTTAATAAGGAGAAATTGAACAATCTCATTCAGCTTTATGACATTGCATATATTTACACATGGCCCAATATTTAGCATGTGAAAAGATTTTAAAAGAAAAGTGATTATAAAAAGGTAACATTCTGCCCAAGATTCCCTCTTTTTAGGCACCTGAAGAATAAAAGAAATTAGTAGCCAGTTGTTCATGTACTTAGGAAAAATAGGAGTAAAAAAAAAACCTTAAGAGAAACTGTGTTTATATATCCACAGTTTCTTGAATCATTTGATGTAATGTGAAATGTCCAAGATAAACAGGTAAATTACCTGAATATCTCATCTCATTATTAGTCAAACTGATTAATACTTTTAAGACAATTCTTAGGTGCAATGTAACAGTTTTTCCAGAGTGGAATCTACAGAGAGAATTAAGACCAGCAACACCAAGCCTAAGGACAAGTGCGATGGATGTGAAAAAAATTCTTACCTCACAGTGACAAACTGTCTCTCTGCCCGTGAGGTCATTCAACACAGCCTCAGAGCTTTTGTGGCAGGTGCAGCCACTTTCGAAAGCACGACCAGAGGTCAAATCTCCAGCTAACACAGGCATATTTGGTGAGGTTATAGAATGCCGAATACTGGTGCCTGAAATAGAGTGGTGGGAGAGAAAAATCAGACATTGTGAAAAATCAAAGAAAAGGGCAGAATATAAAGTCAGTGAAGTTGATAGGGAACAACAATGACAAAAATAAGAATAAAAAAATGTTTCCAAAAAATTTCACAAAAACAAGAAATGTGTTAAGAACAAACTCATAAGAAAAAGCGTGACATCAGGTTATTAGAACCTTGCATTTTAAAATTCAATCTTCAAATTAATAATGAATTCAAATTTTCAAGTTGGAAATACTTGGACAATATGGATGCAAAGTAAAAAAAAAAAAAAAAGGAAAAAAAAAACAAACTTTTGCTTATTCAATGCAAACTTTTCTTTAAAAGAAGTACATCTAAAGTAAATATGACAAACAGAAAAGCAATCTGCTAAATTCTAAATGTTTCTCTTAGTATATAAAAACTGCCAGAGATTAATTTCTTTATGTAGGCAAATATCAATGAATTTAAAATAAGAGAATTCAAGAAAGGGTAAATTTAGCCAGTGTTAGGTTAGGGTGAATAGTATATAGATTATCATTATGTTAATAGAGAATATACAAACTACTTCAGTAGTGAGGGAAATATACAATTGTTCAATTCTTGAAGAATAGCAACAAAAAAAAAAAAAAAAAATTTGTCATCAATTAAAAAAATTATATATATATATATATATATATATATACACACACACACGTGTGTGTGTGTGTGTGCATTTTGAACAATAAAAATGTTAAAATTTTCAGACACACTGGGTTGTATATTAATATTTTTTTTTGTTTTATTATTACAATTAGGATTCTCAACTAGTTTCGGCCAGCATAGCCATCATCAGGAGAGAAAAAAAAATCCCTGCTTGTTAGTACCAGTGAACTACAGGAGTAAATGACTATTTCTGAAGAAAGTGAATTTTATCTGTAGTTTCCATTTGCTTGCATTGGTCAAACGGCCTCTTTGAAGTTGTTTTTAAGATTAATTAGAGTTGTGTTAGATTTTGAAAGTAGATTTAATGACTGAGCTAGTGAATGAATTGGTATGTCCAATGTGGTTACAACATAAGCTCCTTTTGTTGTTACATGGTTGGGAGAACCCTGTTGTTTTTGTTTTATTATGGATTACCTTATCTGAAATTTGGTTACTACCTATAATTTCCTTAAGGTTCTTAGGTCTATGATATGCTAGAAGACCAGGTTCCTCAAAGTTTTTAGGTCTGGTTTGAGATGTAGTATTTCCCAGCAACTTTTTATTATCTGAGATAGTGGAGAAAGAGTTGTGTTGAAAGTGGTTACTACAGGGATGCATCTGGATTTATTTTTAGTTTTATATATTAAGATGTCTTCTCTAGGTGTAGAAATTGCTTTATTTATTTGTTCCCTGATTAGGTATTGTTTGTAGCCAATTAAATAAAAAGCTTAATCACAGTAACTTGTCTGTCATCTTTAATGAAATATATATTTTTCTTGTGTTTGAACAAGTGTTTTCTTTTCTGGACACAGAGTGTGTAGAAACTGTCCAAATGTTGTGTAATTCTGAGTGCATTCAGCTATACTTTTAGCCATTTTCAAGGATGATTTTATTTTTACTTTTTAACTGGATGTATGGGTACTGTGCATGTATCTAGAGTTATAAGGAGGTTTTATTTTCTGAACACTACTTTGTGGCCATGTTCGTAGTTAATATTATTGAGTGTTTTTTTTTTATTTTTATTTTTATTATTAAGGCTTCTATAATTTTTAGCCTTTTTAAATGAATCCTGTATAAAGGAAGGATTGCTGCCTAAATACACACACACACACATATATATATTACACGAATAGAATTAAAACTGACTACAGAAATTTTTAAAGAGAGAGAGAAAGTTGAAAGAGTTAAATCAATTGATGTGCAGCCATGTTTAACATTATTAATATTTAAGTATCTGTACATCTTTTTTCCTTGCCATCTATTTTATAAATACTTTATCAAATATGATAGATACTGGTATTTTAAAACCTAGAGATTATAAATGATCAAGATTTTAAAGAAAAAGGAAACTTTAAATAAAATAAAAATTGGCTTATGGAGTGCAGATATTAGAATTTACTTATAAAATGTTATATTGCAAATTTTTTCTTTGGTCATATAAAATGCTTAAAACATGACAAAAATGTATCATAATTTTGAGACTGGAAAATAAAAAAAGGAATTTTTTTTTTAACATTCTCTTCAAATGTAGTTCTATTATTCCAATGCAGAAAAATGTCAATCTGACAATAAAAAAGTTTATTCAAATTAGTAATGAACCTACTAAGTCTCATTATAGAGATTGAACCTGAACATTTTATAATGTAAATATTCATGTGTGATAAATACCTCAGACAAATATTAATATATTCAAATTTTTCTTTTAGTTGTGAACTAATTTAATTACCAAAATATGAGAGAAGATAAAAGAAATCTATTTCTCCACTATTACAGTTGTTTTTCCTTAACAGATGCAATAGTAAAAAAAGAGAGATGAATTACAATAAATATCAAGAAGATATCAACCAGGTATATATCACAGGCTGACTAATCCAACAAAGAGGAAATAGTAAACTAAAAGAACACACACACACACGCACACAGAGGCAGGGTCAAAGTTTACAGAGTCACAAGAATAAAGTGGGTAGATACCAATTGGCTCTGTGAGTAGTAAATTTCTAACAACAACTGGGGACAGGAAATTAATGATTTTTGATCAACTGACATGTTAACAGGTAAGACAGTTTATGGTCTTGTTGCAACAACAGTGCATGGTGTATGCACACCCATAAAGCAGACACAAAGGAGTGGATGCTGAAAAGTTCTCTACCAAACCCACTACAAAAAGAGGAAATAAGAAATAATAGAGATTAATATTTCAATGACCAAACATTAGTGTTTGGCAAGTGGGGGGGGGTCAAAATAAATACGAGGAAATTAAGTGTCAAATGAGTGAAACTTGAGGATGAATATAGAAAACAGCATCTTTTACATATCACAGCATCTTTGTCAATCTCTCTCTCTCACCTACCACTTTTCAGCAATTCCATACAATATATTCTTTCTTTTTAATGAGTTCACAATAAGTTTCTAGTTGATAGTAATTCCAAATATACTGTTAAATTTTAAAAAGGCAAGAGTTCCACACAAGCTAAATAACCAGAGAATTTATAGCAGAACATGAAAAATTAAATTTATCAAAAATTAACTCAGTTCCTAAATACATCATATTTTTTTTACATATTGAATAAAAAAAATTACACATTGAAATATATACTTGTATCTTGTCTGGAAAATAAAATAATGATAAAAACATTTTTCTGATAAATATTAACAAAATTCATACTCTTGAGCAACCTTTTCTATTTTCCCAGTTAATATGTAACACACGTCTTCATATAAACACCAACAAGGATTGTGCTATTTTAAAATGTAAACTAGTTACAAGAAAATATTTTTATATCAATTCCAAAGTTTGTCCAAATTAGTATTTTTCTTATATTATCCCAACAGATACTTCAGATTTTCAGAGAATAGTGATATTCTTTAAATGCTTAAAATTCTGGATACAGAATCAATACAAAAACAATTCTAATGCACTTAAATAAACCATGAAGATTTTATACAAAGTGTTTTTGTTTTTTTACAACAAAGAAGACTAATGACTAGAAGACTAAATTCAGGTAAATATTCTGCTACTAAAGCAAATTAAAAAGTATGCTTAATATAATTTTTGTTTTCAATAACTGGAACAAGTAATAATGAATTATAGAGGAAGTAAGAATGAATGGATTTAACAGAATCTAATTCTGTCACAGCCAATGAAAAATGTTTTAAAATAAATAGAGCTCATGCTGTAGATGAATTATGATAAAATTGTTCCCTATTTGTGCCTTTCAGTATAGAAAAAAAAACAGAGATTCTTTTGGAGATTGAGGTTAGACAATTCAGTAAAACAATTTAACATGAAAATATTCAAATGACTACTTTTCACTACCAATATTTTTTGGTCTATATCAGATGATCTGTTTTTATCACATTCTGATCCTGTATCCACATGGGAAAGAGGAAGATTATCACTACTGACAAAATTGAAAATAAATACATTGTCAAGCCATAATGCAAACATGCAAGAACCCTAAATTGAAAACTGAACAAAATACTGCTTTAATAAGCAAAGAAAAGTCATTCTCAAAATGGCAGCATCACCAAGCATACAAGACAAAGCATTTAAAGAGACAAGACGACAACATAAATATTACTCAAACACCACCTTTGCTAGTTTAACACGGTATTGGTCATCATTTTTAAATTATCTATTTATAGACTTTACTGCCAATATAGGAAAAGTTACTTTGTTTTTTTTTTGTTTTTTAATTAAAGTAAAATAATTTATCAACATCTTATAGATTCTAAAACCCATGCTTTATTTCATATGGATTTTCTTCCAACAGCAAAACAAGGAAGATAATTGCTGCTCAATGGCTACTAAAATGTTTTCTCATAACATTTTCAACTATCATTTTTATTATTTAAAAAGGCAGAAACATTCTTATATTCCAGTTATATATATATATATATATATATATATATATATATATATATATATATATATATATATAACCAAAAGTAGTTCTTAGAGCTTGACTTCAGTTTTCCAGGCTACAGAATTCTCAAAAATCACTTTCTTCCTGCCCCACCCCATAAAAAAATAATTCATTTGTATAAATTAAACATTTTCCAAGATTTTAAATAGAGAATTGTTCAAATGTGGGATTATATAATGTAGATGGGAAATTTACTCCAATAATGCTAAAAATAAAGTGATTTTATGATTATTAAGAAGCTATAAAAGTATATCCAAGCAGATTTGGAAGAGGATACTTTTCAAAATTGCTTTTAGCCCAAGTCAAACTCACAAATTACAGAACTAGAGATCAAATGAGTATGTGCCTTTAATTCAGGTTAACATCTGCCATTCTGGATTTCTTTGC